AGGGACTCCATATTGGCCATCTGTGGATGAGATCCAATTTAATGAATATCTAGACAGACAGACAGACAGACAGACAGACAGACAGATAGATAGATAGATAGATAGACAGACAGACAGACAGACAGATAGACAGATAGACAGATAGACAGATAGATAGATAGATAGATAGATAGATAGATAGATAGATAGATAGATAGATAGATAGATAGATAGATAGATAGATAGATAGATAGATAGATACATAGATAGATAGATAGATAGATAGATAGATAGATAGATAGATAGATAGATAGATAGATAGATAGATAGATAGATAGATAGATAGATAGATAGATAGATAGATAGATAGATAGATAGATAGATAGATAGATAGGTTCTAAAGGGATATCAATAAGTTAAGAGGATCTCCTCAGTAAGATCATAATAAGCAACACATAAACAAGCAACACATAAAAAAGCAAGACATAAAAAGCAAGACATAAAAAAGCAAGACATAAAAGCAATACATAAAAAAGCAAGACATAAAAGCAATACATAAAAAAGCAAGACATAAAAAGCAAGACATAAAAAAGCAAGACATAAAAACCAAGACATAAAAAAGCAACACATAAAAAAGCAAGACATAAAAAAGCAACACATAAAAAAGCAAGACATAAAAAGCAAGACATAAAAGCAATACATAAAAAAGCAAGACATAAAAGCAATACATAAAAAGCAAGACATAAAAAGCAAGACATAAAAAAGCAAGACATAAAAAGCAAGACATAAAAAAGCAACACATAAAAAAGCAAGACATAAAAAAGCAAGACATAAAAAGCAACACATAAATAAGCAAGACATAAAAAAGCAAGACATAAAAAGCAACACATAAAAAAGCAAGACATAAAAAGCAAGACATAAAAAAGCAACACATAAAAAGCAAGACATAAAAAAGCAAGACATAAAAAAGCAATACATAAAAAGCAACACATAAAAAAGCAAGACATAAAAAAGCAAGACATAAAAAGCAACACATAAAAAAGCAAGACATAAAAAAGCAATACATAAAAAGCAACACATAAAAAGCAAGACATAAAAAGCAAGACATAAAAAGCAACACATAAAAAGCAACACATAAAAAAGCAAGACATAAAAAAGCAATACATAAAAAGCAACACATAAAAAAGCAAGACATAAAAAAGCAAGACATAAAAAGCAACACATAAAAAATCAAGACATAAAAAGCAAGACATAAAAAAGCAACACATAAAAAGCAAGACATAAAAAAGCAAGACATAAAAAAGCAAGACATAAAAAAGCAAGACATAAAAAAGCAAGACATAAAAAAGCAAGACATAAAAAAGCAACACATAAAAAAGCAAGACATAAAAAGCAAGACATAAAAAAGCAAGACATAAAAAGCAAGACATAAAAAAGCAAGACATAAAAAAGCAAGACATACAAAGCAAGACATAAAAAAGCAAGACATAAAAAAGCAAGACATAAAAGCAAGACATAAAAAAGCAAGACATAAAAGCAAGACATAAAAAAGCAAGACATAAAAAGCAAGACATAAAAAAGCAAGACATAAAAAAGCAAGACATAAAAAGCAAGACATAAAAAAGCAAGACATAAAAAAGCAAGACATAAAAAGCAAGACATAAAAAAGCAAGACATAAAAAAAGCAATACATAAAAAAGCAAGACATAAAAAAGCAAGACATAAAAAAAGGAAGACATAAAAAAGCAAGACATAAAAAAGCAAGACATAAAAAGCAAGACATAAAAAAGCAATACATAAAAAAGCAAGACATAAAAAAAGCAAGACATAAAAAAAGCAATACATAAAAAAGCAACACATAAAAAAGCAAGACATAAAAAGAGGCTTTATGTGAAAATTCACTCGTGGCTCGCAAGTCTGAGGGAAAGTCTATACAAGTACTCAAGGAAACTATCTGAGTCAAGGTCTACACAGATTCTATTTTGGGTCAGTTGTTACTACATAACACCTTTAAAAAAAAAAAAAAAAAAAAAAAAAAAAAAAAAAAAAAACAAAAAAAAAAAAAAAAAAAAAAGGGGCTTTATGGGAAAATTCCCCCGTGGCCCGCAAGGCTGGGGGAAAGTCTATAAAAGTACTCAAGGAAACTAACTGGGTCAAGGGCTACACAGATTTTTTTTTGGGGCAGTTTTTACTAAAAAAAACCTTTAAAAAAAAAAAAAAAAAAAAAAAAAAAAAAGCTACAATGTCTTCAGATTTACCGTCTCACCTGACAACATCACCGTTTTGGCCCTCACCTGTATCTCATAGTTGCACCACTGACTCTTTAGAAAGTTCTTGGTGAGCACAACCAGTGTCTTTCTGCACTCCATCACGGCCGCTGCGATGTTCGAGGCGATGTAGTCGCCAACGACAAAGTCTCTACCGTGGACGTGAAGCCTCAGGCCTCTCGTATTCAGCTCTACGGAAGGCATTGGGTGGGCAATTAAGCAAAGGCGTTGGTTGGGCACTTAAGGAAAGGCATGGGTTGGGCCTTTTAATAAAATCATATTTTAGGAACTTAAATAAAGGCATAGGTTGGGAACGTCCATAAAGGCATAAAGGAACTATAGTAAAAGAATAAGTTGAAAAATTTAGGAAAAACAGAGGTACGGTTTTTTTTTTGAAATTTTCGCATATAGGTAAAAGATTAGTTAATTTACTTAATTAAATTCAAAGATTGGGCACTTAAGTAAAAGATTTCGTAAGAAACATTATTTAATCTATACAAAATAAGCCCCCCCCCCCACCCCC